ACCCCAGCTTCTAGCCTCAGCCACTGCAGGCATGTGCCTGCATTTCTGGGATGTCTTACAAACTGATTTAGCTTAGCCAGGTTAGACTAACCTTCAAAGACTGAATCGATTCAGGCTTTTTGAATGTCTGTCCCTAGCCTTGGTGTTTGGGTTTGTGAGATTTTACATTGAAAACATTTGGTGCCTTGATTTAAAATCAGTATCTTACTTGCTAGACCTCACAAGCTGCATTTTTGCCTTTTAAATAATCTTTCATACACACTTACCTGCTGTACAACTAAAAAGCACAATCACCATTTTTTCTTTTTACCTGTGTCATCTTTACCTTTGGGGTATGCATGTTTCAAGTTTGTGCCTCACAAGGAAGAGAGTCAGTTGTTATTCAAATAGATTTACAAATGTATGGGAACACTGGCCTTCTGCACTATTGCTTAGTAAATAAAATATATATGTATAAAGCACAGAACTGTTTGCAACCTACAAATTTGTTTTAAATATAAGAAATTAGTGTTAAAAATATTTTCTCAATGCCTGAAGGCAGAGCTCAGCAAAGCATATAAAATAGCAATAAAACTATTTTATTGTGATCTTATAATCATCTTGTAAGATGGCATCCAGTACTATATGAAAATCTTAGTTGCATTTCCAAATAGCACTTTTTTTTACTTGAAGCATAGATTCTTCAGTTCCGTGGGCTTAGAAATAGATAATTTTAAAATGCAGGCCCTTAACTGCTGGTAATTATAGAGGCAAAAGAGATGCTTGTTAACTATAGCAGTATTTGAGATACTGGAAGCATTTTTATTTATTCTTGTGAGGCACCTTGCTGCAATGCGTAATAGTTTACTCAGTCTTTCAGCTATTTTCTGCACCTCACCCCCTTATTTTCCCTCATTTTACAAATTTTAAAGTGCATTAAAATTCAGTTTCAGTTGTGCTCAATTCACAGACTAGAGTCTTACCTTATTTTCACTTCAAGGTTTGAGACATGGCTTTTTGTGTAATCCTAAACGGTAAATATGCCCAAGCTTTTCTGAGGCAATTGGCTTGCTTTAGTTAATTTTTACCAAACTTCCTTTTTAAAAAAAACAACCCATTTCTTTCATTTTTTGTGAGTTTTATGTCCACACATTTCCTTATGGGAAATTCACTTTACAAACCTATTCTGCTTGCATAGTTCCCACTATATCAGCCACTGTCAAGAAGAAAGAATTCTGTTTCAATCCATGGAATATACACAAGGTAACATTTTCCAAAGCTCTTAACTTAAGTCCTGTTTTCAAAGGACTTTGAAAGGGATGGGGGAGGAGGCAGGAGGAAGCCACACATGCGGCCCTTCCCCTCCAGCCTCCTTTAAGAGGATTTCTGGAGTGCAGCATGTGTTGAAGTCCTCAGAGCCTGCAGAGGCACCTTCTTTCAGCCCAGATCCACCTGCCTCGGTCTTGTTGGGAGCCAGGGACTAGAGGCTTCTTCTCACTGTGAGCATGTCACTCCTTTGGGACTCGGTTCATAGATTCATAGATTGTTCGGGACTGGAAGGGACCTTGTAGATTATCAGGTCCAGTCCCTCTGCATTAGTCAGGAAAAGACAACTGGGGTCAAGTGACTCCAGCAAGGTGACTGTCCAGTCTCCTTTTGAAGATTTCCAGGGTAGGTGACTGTACCACCACTGGAGGGAGTTTATTCCACAGTCTGGAGACCCTGACTGTGAAGGAGTTTTTCCTGGAGTTGAGCCTCAAGTGGCCTTCCAGGAGTTTGTATCCATTGCCCTCTGGGGTGCCCTGGTGAGCACCTGTTCACCGAGTTCTTGATGTACTCCCCTGACGTAGCCGTAAGCCGCTATCAAGTCCCTTTTCAGCTTTCTGTTCTGTAGGCTGAAGAGGCCCAAGTCCCTCAGCCTCTCCTTGTATGGCTTGTCTTGAAAGTCCAAGATCATGTGGGTGGCTCTTCTCTGGACCCTCTCAAGTTTTTCCATGTCCTTGTTGAAGTGCAATGCCCATAACTGGGCACAGTACTTCAGCTGTGGTGTGCAGAATACAGTGGGAGTATCACTTCCTTAGTTTTGCATGAGATGCAATGGTTAATGTGTGCCAGTGTGTTTGCCCTGCTGGCCACAGTATTGCACTGCCAGTTCATGTTCATGCAATGGACGATCACAACCCCAAGGTCACTTTCAGTTGTAGTGCAAGTCAAATTGTCACCACTGAGCCTGTAGGTATGTTGGGGACTGTTTGCCCCCAGATGGAGCACCTTACACTTCTGTGTTGAACTTCCTCTGGTTCTGGTCTGCCCAACTCTTGATCCTGTCCAGGTCCGTCTGCATTTGCAACCTATCTTCTGGCACGGCCATGCTTCCTCATAGCTTGGTGTCATCTGCGAACTTGGCCAGGGAGCTTTTCACCTCCACATCCAAATCATTGATAAAGATGTTGAAAAGCATTGGTCCAAGCACAGACCCCTGAGGGACACAACTGGCCACTTCTCGCCAAGACACACATCTGTTCATGAGAACTCCCTGGGTCCAGCCATGCAGCCAGTTTTCCATCCCCTAAACTGTTGAGCAGTTAAGTCCACAATGTTCCAATTTTTTGACAAGGATATTGTGGGATACTAAATCAAAAGCCTTTTGGAAGTCTAGGTATATAATGCTGACCACCTCTCCCATGTCCAGGTGGTGAGAGACCTGTTCGTAGGAAGAGATGAGATTGGTAAGACAAGACCTACCTGCAACAAAGCCATGCTGGCTTGCATTCAGAATCTTGCCCTCAATAAGCGTATCGCACAGATTTTTTAATACGTTTTTTCAGGATTTTCCCTGGGATGGAGGTTAGGCTGATTGGCCTATAGTTGTCTGGGTCCTCCCTCTTCCCCTTCTTGAAGATGGGCACAATGTTGGCTGTCTTTCAATCCTCAGGGATCTCCCCTATGCGCCACAATTTCTGAAAGAGTTTTGCCAGGGGTTCCATGATTACCTCAGTCAGCTCCTTCAGCCCTCTTGGGTGAAGTCCATCTGGTCCTGCTGACTTATAAATGTCTAGCTTTTCTAGGTGGTTTTGAACCAGCTCAGCATCCACAGTGGGAAGGCTCTCATTCCCACCATGCCCCCTGTGATCCTTATCTCATTTGTCTTTCCCCTTGGTTTGGTGAAATACTGAAGCAAAGTGGGCATTTGGGAGTTCAGCTTTTTCCTGAGTGTCCATTACCAACTGTCCCAAAGTGTTAAGCAGAGGCCCCATGCTTTCATTTGTTTTTCTTCTTCTCCCTACATACCTAAAGAAGGACTTCTTAATGTCCTTGACTCCCTTGGCTAACTTAAACTCAGTTGCCACCTTAGCTTTCCTTCTTACATTCTCGCAGCCTGGGCAGTCTCAAAGGAGTGACATGCTCACACTGAGAAGCACTACCTACACCTGACTCCCAGCAAGACCAAGGCAGGTGGATCTGTGCTGAAAGAAGCTGCTTCTGCTGGCTCAGAGAACTCTAACACATTCTGCATTCTAGAAATACTCTTCAAGGAGGCTGGAGAGGAAGGGCTGTATGTATGGCTTCCTCCTCCCTCTTCCCTGCTCCCTTCCTGCAGACAGCCCTGGGGGCAGGGTAGGGTTGCATCAGTCCAGCCCTGAATGCATGATAAATAACCCCTAGGAAACACAAGTTCCCTAAGACTCTCTAAAGTAGAGTGCCTTCATCTAATATCTCATTTGATGATGGTTAGATTTTTTGCATGATTAGCCACTTTAAAGCGCTCTGTAGTCATGCATGTGTAACAGCATGCCTGTAGAGTGCTTTCAGGAGGCCAGTCACAGAAAAAATATAACTTCTGTCTGCTCCCTATTATGTCAGAGGCTTATATAGCAGCAAGCAATTGTTTATGCCCATAGGACCAGACAGTCTGTTCTCTTCTTCCAATTCTAAATGCCAGCAATTCAACACAGACCTCAGGTATAGATTCTTATTTCCTCCATAGATAAAGAGGTATTTTTATTTTGGGTCTAGACAATTCAGAGGTTATTGACCCTAGGATGGTCTTGTTGTGTATTTGGGTATATTCTCTGCATCACAAGTTCCTTCTGTCTAGACATAGATCTCCACTACTGTTAGCTCCTAAGGGTCTTCATTAACTCTTGAGATCAGATGAGAATCATTCTAAAATGATGGATTTATTTGAAAGGAGTCTGTATATGTGCATTTGGAATAGTCAGTGCTCTTTCTTAAATATTATACTCACTGCACTTCATGGCAGAGTTCATGGACAGACTTCTATTAATACCCAACCAGAATTCAAGGTTCTGGCATCTGTGCTGGGAGATAGCTTCCAAACATATTTATAACTTGAATAGATTAGGGTCTTGACCTAGAAGCTGAGAAATCGTTCTTGATTTCACATGTGATACAGACATTCTAAAAACCCCAGGCGGAATTGATCTAAGTTATGCAGTTTTATGTAAGTGATGTAGGTTAGATTAGTAGCAAACAGAACACTCATTAGCACTTGCTGGGGAGCAGATCTTAGACTGGGTTCTGCCACTTTTAAACCGCTCAGTGTGCTGAACTTCTGTTCTGTTACTGGTATAGACAGGTTTTGTGTGCTGAACTTCTGTTCTGTTATGTGGATGTAGACTGGTTTCTGATCACTTCTGTCATAAAAGTGTAGTGTCTGTATCTGACCAATGTGGTTTCATGATGCCATCATTCTGGGTTTCCTAGTATGGATCTCATTTGCACCTATAGAAATAATCACAACCAATAACTTCTCTGTAATCGTGGTTATTTCTAATTTAGAGATCCCACACTTGTTCTCATTAATTAGTTTCCCTCCCTCCTGCACTGTGGTTCGTTCAGTGTAGTGTACAATGGAAAGGGGACTAGCAGTCTTCCAAAGCAGCATCAGTGTATGTTTTTACTGTCAGTGTATGTTTATACTATATATTGTATACATATTTCAGCCACCTGAGAGACTAAAATCATTTTTTGTAACTCCCTCTGTTTTTAACCCTCAGTAGTGCCTGTTCAAAGGTAAAGCAAACCATATACAGCAATGTGCAGCCTTCAAATTCCAACCTGTTATGGGATCCAGAGTTCATGTTGGATTTTATTGAGAATCCTTCTGCTCACAGCATCAACTACTCAATGCTAGGCAAGATCCTGAGTGATAATGCAGCTAATCGCTACAGCTTTGTCTGTAATTCACTTATGAATGTATGCATGGGACATCAAGATGCAGGGAGGTAAGATCAATTGTTTTAGAATTTGAGCTGTAAGTATTCTGGAAATAAGTGTTAGTGTGGCATTGGAATTAAGCATCTGGGTTATAATTTGATACAGCTATGGGTTTTAATATGCATGTAATTGAAGTTCCCTCTCTTTACTTATTCCTGCTTCTTTTTCTCTTATTTACTACATTAGGATAATCTTTGTAATTATTGGTATATGCTTTCTTCCTGGGGCTTTTTTAGTGTTACACTATTTTATTTTAAATTCCCTTCAGCTAAATGGCATCAGGCTGGTTTGTACAAAGTTACAAGGATTAATAATAAATAGTAGCTATGAAAATGGCATACTATAAATATTGACTTATTTGCATAAGTTGGAAGAGGTGGTTATGCTTTCCTGTAGGTTCCCTGATTTGATACTAGACTGCTACCATGGCACAATAATATCTTCCTGATAGTGTCTGATTTGAGGAGTAGTCAGTACCACACCCTTGGTATGCCATGTAGTTAAGTCATTAACCTTTGGAACACATCACAACAGGATGGTGCTGAAGTTAAGAATTTAGCCATTTCAAAGGAGAGTTTGGGCATTTAAAAAGATACAAGGAAAACTAGAATTTTAATAGCTTACATCGAAATAACTAACAACTGGTTCCAAAAGTAAAATCTCTCACTTCAAATTTTAAACCAGTCTCTACCTAATGAATATCAGATTATCTCACTTCTGTTTATTGTGAGGTTTCTTGCATAGTCTTCTAAGGCATCTGGTGATGGCAGCTGTCAGATGGGGACCTAGAGTTGAAGAATCATAGGTCTGATACAGTAGACCACTACTTACATTTGTTAGTCTCTGGATATGTTCTAAATGGAAGGTGCTTAAGACAGGAGGAGAAAATAGACTGAAGTCCTTAACATATTTGTCTTTCAAGTTGCTGAAAAGAAGACTCTATGGGGAGCATAACAGTGCCCAGCCTCTCTCTGATGAAGCTGCCTTCCAATAGATGGGTCATTGATAAGGCACCCATTGTCTTTCTCTTGGCAACTTTGCTGCCACTTCTTCCTCTTTTTTTGTTGGATACATTTTCCCTCTCCTGTCTTCCCTAGTTTAAAACTGGAATGCAGACTGGTATTATTTATGTAGAGAAGCTTCTGTTGCTCATATTATGCACTAAGCTGCTATAACCTAAATGCTTGTTGCTAAATGATTATCTCAGTGTTTTTTTTTTCTTTTCTCTTCTAGAATTAATGATATAGCAAACCTCTGTGCAGAGCTGACAGCATGCTGCACAATGCTGAGCTCAGAATGGCTGGGGGTTCTGAAAGCTCTTTGTTGCTCTTCAAATCATGTCTGGGGTTTTAACGATCTGCTTTGCAGTGTGGATGTAAGTTCACTATATTTTGAAAGAGAAATACTAGTAAATTCTTCTCAGGTACTTTGTAGAAGGAATATGCATAATACCTAAAAACTGCATGTTGTTGGGTTAGATTTTAGAATTGTATCTGCCTGTCTTTTCAAAGTATCTTTTGAAAGTCCTGCATTTTGCTTCGTGTTTTAAGAATTGAAGTAATGTTTGGGCTGCATGTAGAGATGCATGTATGTTCCTTACTCAAACATATCATTTGTTTGTTTATTTTTGCCCCCAATTAGAATACTGCAATAGTGTAAATTATTAGAGCTATCTGCTGGAAAGAAAGACTGTAAAATTAGGCACTGTTCAAATGACACAAGTGGTCTCACTTTTAAAATGCATGGCCAAGGGGCTTGTACATGAGTTATAATGCTGCTGTTATATTTCACTGATCCTCACTTGGCTTGTATAAATTGTCCTAGTATTATTGAAGTTAATGGGGTTATAGCTTACAACAGTTTAGAGTCTGGCCTAATATGGATCCTGGTATTTTGGTCATAAATGTTAAGCTATCTGTATAGACCTTGGACTTCTCTTGCTGTATACTAGAAGCTAGGGAATGAGTGTATGTTATCAATTTCCATTTAAAGATAACAACTCCAACAGTCAGTCCATTGAATTATTCAGGGCAGTTCAACTCCAGAACAGCTGGAGATGCACTGGTTGGAGGCTCTGGGCTGCATACCACAAGGGATGCATGCTGTGGGTGCCACATGGGCTCCCCAAGATCCCTGTTGCCTGCCCCTCCCTTCTCCACCATCCCCCAACCACTGCTGCTGTGTATGTAATGCAACCCTACAACCCATCTTCTTCTGCTTATTAGTAGTCAGGGAGCTCACCAAGCCTTCCTACTGTGCTGTCCTGGCCCAGAGACCTCAGTTGCTACTGTTGCCACAGCAGCTGGAGCAAGGAGGGCAGTGGTGGCCTTCTCTCTCAGTAACCCCTGGTGGGCCACCAGTTGGACAGCCCTGATATAATTAACTTAAAATAATGGAAGTTTTCCATCAAAAATATTTGGAAAATATATAAAAGAAGGAGTTTGTTTTTTTCTTTTCTTTTTTTATTTTACTCTTAGGAAAGAGGTCTGGCTTACCCGTGGTTAAGGAACGTGGCCAGTAATTACAACATTGCATGTGTGTATGATAATGTGAAAGCATTCCACTATTGTTTTTCTTTCAAGGTGAGTGACCTTTCATTCCATGATTCCCTGGCTACTTTCATCGCTATACTAATAGCTCGGCAGTGTTTTTCTCTGGAGGATGTGGTTCAGCATGTTGCGCTTCCTTCTCTTCTTGCAGCGGGTAAGTAAAAATCAATAGAGACATTGAGCACAAACCTTATTTGTGCTGTTTCATTTTTAGAAAGTTTTTCTGTGTTTGCAGAACTTTACAGTGCATTCTGGAACTGCTTTCTGATATGGAGCACTGGCTATAGCCCATGGTAGTGTGCATTTGGAACAGTCTATTTCCATAAAAATTGATGTCCTGAGAATTAACAAATTGGTGTTTTGTTAAAGAATATAAACCTCATATCAAGTGCATTCCACTTTTTCTTCCTATCATCCAACCTACTGTCTCCTACATGCGCAACACATTCAGATAATTGTGAAATTCTTTCAGTTCTTCTCATCAAAAATCCAACCTTTTTTTCAGCTCTCACAGCTCAATAAGTTCATCTGTGCCTTGTTTACTTGCAGTCTCCATTATATACACTTTCCATAGGTCTTCTTTGCCTCTGTACCCCCTACCTCCTCCATTTGCAGTTCATTGAATACAACCCTCTTCCTCATCCACATCACAAACTCTTTGGAATTCTTCCACTGACTTTCTCTCCCCTTTGATCTCAGGTCTGTCCTTCTTCTCCTTGTTTTAAATAGCCTGTGCCAGCTTCACCCTTCATGTCTTCTTTTCTGCTCTCATTTGACCATTACTTCTTTTGCTTTTCCAGCCATCAAATTATTTTCATTAATAAAGTACATGCTGCATATTTGCAGTCACCTCACTATCCCTATCCATCAAACCTACATATATTTGTTCCTTCAAAAAAACCTGACAAACATTTTGCAAGGCCTATAAATGATGACTCCATCAAATGAGATGCTCCAGTTGCATTTAAAATATGACCATGCAAGATAAGTTTTTCTTCTGGATCTTCCAGTGAATTGTGTGTTTGATTTGTAAGATAGTGGGGTGGAGGACCTTATTTCAGTATCCTATTTTCTGTAGCTTGTGGGGATCCAGATGCTGAACCTGGGGCAAGAATGACTTGTCGACTTCTGCTTCATCTCTTTAGAACACCCCAGGTCTACCTGTTTTCACAAGCAACAGGTAAGTTAATAGCTACATGCTCTTTTTACTTCACAAACTGAATTTGGAGACTTCTGCATAGGCTGTCTGCTTCAGATCTAAATGTTTTTCTTTCCACGCATGTGTTTAAAAATTGTAGGTGTTACTAGTTAAAAGAAGCAGAGGCCAAAGAATGGGATGGTAGTGAATAAACCAGTAGTTTTCCTGAATGGAATTCTGTTGTGGAATATAGCGTTCCTGTAGAAAGTAAGCGGTGATTGTCTTTCACATTTTGTTTTACTTTAAATTTGATAATTGCATATATGCAAATATTATTACCTATTTACATTTAAACAGCTCAGCAGTATAATATGATATACAATCTTCCAGTTCATTTGGACAAATAGTTCACTAAGTGGGTTTAAAACTGATTTTTTATGAAGACTGAAAAATTTCACTGCAGATAGTATTTGCTGAAACTACTTGCAGGGCAGCTGAGTATCTACATATATATCCCTGTCAACCTAGAATTGTTGACATGTTCATCCTGTGAATTGCAGACATGTTCACAGTAAGTTTAAAAAACATTCAGTTCAAGTTTAGTGATTGTGTACTTAAGTGAGGACAAAACTAAAGGAAATTTTTGACTTCCAAAAGTGATATAATGCCTTTTTGGCTTTTCATTCTGAAGAGTAAATCTTCTGCTAAAGAATATGTGAAAAGTATCCCACCCTATGTGGTGTTTCCCAAATACGCCAATGAGTTTTCACAAGAATATTCACAGGCCAGTAAAACAAATTAAAGCAAATATTTTTAAATCTTAAACATTTGTATCAGCAACTTCCTTTTAAAAATATATGTATGCATTCTGGAAGCGGGAACAATATAATCTAGCTTCTGTTTTCAAACCAAACCAGTCAGAACTGTATAAAATATCATAATTTGAATAGCAGACTCATTATGTGACCGTAAGCTACTTTAGATATACACGTGGATGTAATATACCAGGAAATAATTATTTTTATTATATCACGCACATTTTTTTAAGTTGGGCAGGCATTTAACATGTAAACGTATGCATGGAATCATCATCTTCCCTTTTCCTGACTTTGGGTCTGAACCCTCCCGTCCTTGGAATTTGGAAGACTCAGGCTTACTTCAGCTGTGTTAAATCAGACTAAACTGTGCAACAGGAAATGTAATGTGCTTTGCTACATATAATACCTTTTTGAGAAGGTTGAGGAGTGGCAAGTGAAAGAAGAAATGTGAGGAACTTTCACATTCAAAACCAGGAGAGACTCCACTCTCCTTGATAAGTTAATTCAGTTATTTAAGTGTATTGGTTTTGGATGCATACTTGGGCCATCCTCCAATAGCAGGTTCAGGACCTTATTTTACTAGCATTTTAATTAGCATAGGTGGTTTTGAACTTAGTGCACTACGTAGGTCAGTTTTAATCAGTTGATTCTAACTAATCCCCAGTACATTGTACATGTGTGTCCATCTGTTCTAAGTGGCTAAGTTCTTACACAAGATCTTTTCTGGTAAAGAATATGGTTATCTTGTTTTATATGCATGTATTTCTTTCTCCTTCTTTAGGGAAGTCATTCCCAGGCATTCGCTCTTCTTGTGACCGTCACCTCTTAACTGCTGCTCACAACAGCATAGAAGTGGGAGCTGTGTTTGCTGTCCTAAAAGCAATTTTAATGCTTGGTAAGATCATTCAGAGCATCATGCATAAAGTTTTTTCAATTTAAAATGGGTGAAAAGAAGAGTAGCTTTATTCATGTTCTTGAGAGTGCTCCTGTAGATGGAAAACCCCAACCTCAATTTGAAGCATTTGCTTAAAGAGAAATATATGTTCTTCCTGTGCCTCCGTGGCACAGATGAATGTCTTCCAATCCACAGGTCAAGAGACTGAAGTTTTCTCTGGTGAGTCAGCCCCCCTATACATGTTGCTTGAAGCAGGTGTGGCTCTTTCACATTCTGACTTTTCCTTTCAGAAAGTCACGTTACATTTCAAGCTGATATTAGTCTCTCTCAAAAATGTGTAAGTTGTTTGTATTAGAAATATCTTGGACTCAACTCCTAAACTTCACATATGCCCATATTTCTGTGTTTTGGATCTCAGTCCTAATAACTGCAGAACTTCTGAAAAGTCTTGAAAACCATGAGAAACATGTTCAAGAGGAGAGAGCCCACTAGCTATATTTGCATCAGACATATGTCCTTTTCCTAATTCTTAAATTGACTTAAGCTGAACTGGAGCTTTTGTGTGCTTTGAGCTAGTCTACTAGAAAGTTTTTTTGTAGCTTAAGCTTACCACTGTAATTAAATCATCCTTGCGTGAACACAGCTTCAGGGTCATAAAAGAGCATAGACTGGTATTACTGTATCCACAGTTACAGTGGTGAAAGCTGTACTGATTAAAAAGGCAAATGAGTCTCTAAATCAGTGGTTGTTAAATGTAGTGGGTCATAATTTCTTTTCAAGTTCATCATACTGTTGTTAACCCCTATGACTGTCTTATGGATCCATAAAAAAGAAACGCTTTATGTCAACCACAGTGTAACCTCTCCAACAATCTCAGAGGCATTGTAGAGTGTTTCTTCATCTTTTTTGTCATTTCTTCCATTTATATTTCCCCTTTCTCTTCAGTTTTTCTATTCCTTCTTTTTGCATGTTCTCTAGGTACAGTTTGAGGAACACTGATCTAAGTAACAAAATTTCTCCAGAGTAGATCTAACCTGGGTAGATTAAAAAAAAAAAAAAAGGGAACAATTCTTTTGTCTATTTTTAAACTCTTATTTCAGATAAATTAATTTTAAAATTGCAACCAATTAAGAAAAGCATCAAACATACTATATCAGGTGAGGTTTTATTCCAAATATGCAATTTCAGAAATTCAAGAAAACATAAGATTTCTCTGCAACGAAAGGCATAGTTGTATTGTGAATTGAAGTAAGAGCGTATTTTGGTTGTCACTATACAAGTCCTTATGCAGCATCTTCAGATGGCTTTAGCTTAGCTATTGTCTTTTTTTCTTTTTCTAAATTTTCATCATTTGTGTGGCTCGGTTTCCTTTGTATGCTATATCATTCTGAAATGCACATCACATTTGTGTATATATGGTATTGGTACACAAGGGACCCAGGTTCAAGCCTATTTGTTGTTGCCTGTATTTTATGTCATACCATGTGCTTTTAATATCTTTTTTTTGTGCCAAGGTAATCTGCTGTAAATTGGAGTATACTGAGCAGATGATGGGCCCAAGAGCCAGAGTTTAAAGCAATATTTCTTTTGTGATCTCTGGTAATTACATGTAATTGTAATCTGTCAAACGATAAGGCCATTGACTTTCACGGGTATTTGGCTTGGATTTAGTAGAGTATACACAATGTAAACATCTCACAATTTGGACCCAATGGCTTTTTAACACACTAGTTCCCTTTAATTTTGGTTTAGGCATATGGAGAGTTGGGTTTGTTTTGTTTTTTTAAACCCTGTACTTATTCTTTCCAAGATGCTTGCTTCGTTTTTTCTGTCCTTTAGTCCAGTTCAAGTTTGTTAAAGTTGATCTTTTCTAATAAAAGTCAGCAAAAATATTATTGTTAAAAGATAATACTTCAAACATGGTTCTGTGGTTTGTTATATGTGTAAAAATGTTAGAAATGTATGTGAAGCTGGTGTAAAGAATGATATGCAGAATTAGCCCACACAATTTCACTATCCTTTCCCCTACATTTTTACATAACTGTCTTCACTGACAGCTCACCATCTGATAATCACTAATCAGATCTACAAATAGCACCACTGCAATTTTGTTATCCTGGACAATTGCTCAGTTTGTCCACAGAATGGGCTGGCTGATGGCAAAAGTAATACAAACTATGAGTATTTGGTCAAGTGAAATGAACTATCTAGATAGTGGAACATTTTTCTTAAAATTTCCAAAGTTTGCTGCCTCCTATATATGATACCAGGCAGACTGATAGCAGCCACTGTCATCTTAAGCACTGCATTGAATGGATCTGCTGTTAATAAATGTAGATGCCCTGGTAAAAAAAAAAAAAAATAGCAGTAGCAAGCAGCCTAGAGCCGTTTCTATATTGGCAACCTTGTTACTATGCATACTGGAGTTACTGCACAGTTGGAAAGAATGGTAGAAGATACTAGGATAAGTATCCTGTTAGGCTAAGTACAGACAGTCAAAAAGCTTGAGGCTAAATCAAGTCAGTCTTTGTAGGTTAGTCTAAACTGCAGAGATTAAACTGAGAAACAACTTGATAGACATTCATTGTTAATTCAGGAAATGCAGCCACATGCCTGCAGTGGCTCAGGCCAGAAGCCAGGGGGTGCTAAGCACGGGTGTCTGACATGTAGCCAGCATGGACTGTGTTCACTTCCTTTTCCTACTGCCCCTGAGGTCTCTGGGATTTGCAGTCCAGAATCACAGCAGCTGGACTCTACAAGGTTTCTTTCAGGTACCTCTGGGATTTGTAGCCCAGTCACAGCCATCAGTAAATTTAGCAGGGCAAGGCAGCTCTGTACGCAGCAGAAGAGGGATTTAACCCCCCTCCCTGACCCCAGAACCCAGCAGGGGTTTGTCATGGGCTGCAGTGGGGGGAGGGGTCAGTCCCTGCCTTCCTCCCCCACCCTCTGACCCTTCTCTACTGGAGCAGACAGCACAACCCAGGCCAGGGCTGCAAAATACTGGGATGCTGGGGGATTGTGATTTAACTTGACCCAGAAAGGGGTCTGGGACAGAATTTTCATAAACCGGTTTGATCCAAATCAGTTAAGTCTGATACTACATTCAACCAGGTTTATTTTAAACCAGTTTTAGCCATTTTGAAACAGGTTTATTTGTATTGAGCTTCTGTTCCATTACATGTTTAAATCAGTTTCTGATCACTTAGACCATTTATGTGTAATTTCTGTCGCTAACCCTATAGGCTAGATACAGACAGTCAAAAAGCTCAAGGCTGAATTGATTCAGGCTTTGCAGGTTGGTCTAAATTGCACAGATTAAATTGAAACAAAAGTGAACAAACATTATCTGTATGTAAAGGCTGTATTTCCTTTGATTCAGGAAATACAGCCACATGCCTGCAGTGGCTCAGGCTAGAAGCCTTGGGGGGGCGGGGGTGCGGCGCTACAGCATAGCTTTCTGGCTCTGTGTTCACTTCCACTTCCTGTTGCCCCCAACAGCAGCACTCTGCAGGATTGCTCATCAGTTCCTTTTCCTGCATCCAGGTGCCTCTGGGATTTGTAGTCCACAGTCACAGCCAGCAGTAAGTTTTGAGCAGGGGAAGGGGTGTTTAACCCCCTTCCCTGGCCCCAGATCCCAGCCAGCATTTACCTTGGGGGACAGTCCCCCCCTTCTCCTCCTTGCAGACTGGGCTGCATCCCCAGCTAGGCTTGCCTTCCTCCCCACCCCCACCCCACACCCCTTGTAAGCCAGCCTCACTGCTCCAGCTAGGGAGCAGAGGGGCAGTGCCAGCCCTGCTCTCTGGAGCAGAGAGCACAGCCCAGCCTAGCCCAGGCCAGGGCTGCAAAATGCTGGGATGGTGGAGGGCTGTGATTTTAACTTGAACAGGGAAGGGGTTTGGGGTGGAAGTTCCATAAACTGGTTTGACCCAGCTCAGTTAAGTCTGATACTACATTCAACCAGGTGTATCTTAAATCAGTTTTGGCCATTTTGAAACTGGTTTATGTGCACTGAACTTCTGTTTTGTTACAGGTTTAAACCAGTTTCAGATCACTTAAACCGGTTTATGTATAACTTCTGTTCCTAGACATAGTTACAAAATAAAATAGTTCCTTTAAAAAAGGAAAAAAAAGGTTAAATGGCGTAGACCACATAGACAAGGCACTCTTAACCATGGAAGATGACACAGAGATGGACATGTTACTGAATGACAATTTAAAATAGAGAGAGACTTGGTGAGACTGGTTTATAGCATATTTGTTCATGTGCACTGTAAGTGGGTCAGTTCTATATACTTCCTGTTCAGTGTTAGTTGTTGATGGTAAGGTGGGAGGTAGTGAGTCACTTAAGTTCTGCAAAGAAGTATTCTTAATTCTAGAATCCCACTTAAAATTGTCATAGAGACACATACCTTCCTCATGGATGATGCACAGCATAGACAGGTTCCACAAGGGCTTTGAAATTACATCCAGTATTTCCCATCATTAAGAATCTAATTTTTCAAGACAACTTCCTTCATTCAGACTTTCAAATTAGTTCACATTTCAATATAAGTCATTATGAAAATATTTTCTTGGCCTCCTATCTGAAACATCTAAATTTTCTCTGTCACTGTTCCTACTGACTAAACAGTCAAATCAAGTTAATGCAGTTGTGCCGATAATTTGCAGAAAGGATGGGATATTCAATGTTTGCCCTTTCAAACAGGGCTCCCTCAGCATGCATTGCCCTTTTCCATTCCCAGGGAAATAAATCTCTCTTGTCAAGAAGTTCATAGTAAGGTGGGCTAAGGGGACCACCAGTCAAAACTTGTCTCTTGATCTATGGAGAGTTAATAAGTCAGAGTAAGAGAGAAGACTTGGAAAAGGGACACCTAGAATGGTGAGTAACTCAAATTTTCCTTATTTTTACAGCCAAACGAGTTCCATACACACATACCTTTTACTGGGGCGGAGTATGTTGCCATTTTATATTTGATCAGTTTGCAAGATACTTTTAAAATAATTTTAAAATACTGTTTTCAAAGACTAATTTTCTGCAAGCCATTGTGTCCACTGCTCCTGTACTAGTTTGTCTGTACACAGACCTCATTCTTGAATTGTTGCTCAGCTAGGGTATTTCTCCAAACAGTGAATGCTCTAACTAGAAGCATCAAGATTTCTATAAGGTACTCATATTGTACACCTCTGCTTCTGTTGTACAGGTGATGCTGAAATTGGCAGCAGCAGTATCAACTCCTTGAAGAATGAAGACTTCAGTATGAGAGGTTTATTAGATGACCTTGATGATGATGAAATTTGGGGTGCCTCCCACACATTGACATCATGTGGAAAAGCTATTTCAATCGAAACTGCTAGTCTAAGTGAATATGCTAGATATGTGCTAAGAACTATTTGTCAGCAGGTAATTTGTAAAATTTTGCTTCTAGCTTTCTTAATAGACCACATTTCTTTTTGGCAAAAATCTGATGGATGTTGTTGATTACATGCAAAAGAGTGTTTGAGGATGTACCCGAGTATTTGAAGGAATTTTCCCTTGTGTTCTTTGTCTTGGAGCAGAGATGACTTGGAAAGGGGAAAAAAAAAAAAGGTTGGGTAGAGTCCTATAGATAGAGGATAAATTCAGCCTGTCATCATTAGTGGATCCCTGCACTCTGGGGAATGGTTTCCCCACATGAATTTATCACCCAACCCTTCTGATACTGAAATAATAGACCTTGCCTCGGAAGTTCCAGTGCTGCTCCACAAATTGTGTGGTAGAAGGTGCTTCTACTAAGTGTGGACATCTCCTGGCAACATCATAATTTATTGAGCTGGTTTTAGAGTTTTTAGGAAACTAATCTTAGAAAAAGAGTAGATAATGTCATCGTTTTGAGCATTATAAATTAAAGAATAAGATGAAACTTTATATGTTTGTAACTAATTTTCCCTTTATGCCCATTTGCATGTGGATAATTTTTTTGTTCGCCTTGCATTTGTTAAAAAGTTAACTTTCTGCTGATAGTTGCATTATAAGGCCAACTGTCTGATTGCTTACAGGAATGGGTGGGAGAACACTGCTTAAAAGAACCTGAGAGGTTATGTACAGACAAAGATCTTATACTCGACCCTGTTCTCTCAAATAAGCAAGCACAAAAACTACTGCAACTTATTTGTTATCCTCACGGGATTAAAGAATGCACAGAGGGTGACAATCCTCAAAGGCAGCACATCAAGCGCATACTTCAGGTACTACGATGTAAAACAATTCCATTTCTGTCATTCCTCCCTTCTCTCCCTCTCCCCCCCGCAAGTGTTGCAAGGGGTAAAGGAAGAAGTAGAATCAAAAAACCCAGTTCAAGCTATAGTATTTACAGGAGAGGACAGAGCATACCCATCCTGTGATAATGGGCCCTTTTTGTTCCTTCTGGGCAAGAAACTTCTTAGTGCCTGAAAACTTATTTCCCAGACCTGAAGAAGGGCACTTTTGTACCCAAAAGATTCCTACCCCCACCCCCTTGTCTTCAGGAATATTTCATGTTCCAAGGACTTATTCCACAGTAATAGTGTGATAATCTTCAAATGTTCTTCAAATGTTTGCTCTGCCAGTCCAGCCTACTTAATTAACAATTTCCATATTTTAAAAGCAATACTGCAAACACTTGACACAACCATTTTTCCTTTTATTGATTTCACCTAGAACTTAGATCAATGGACTCTCAGGCAGTCTTGGTTGGAACTACAGCTGATGATCAAACAGTGCATGAAAGAGCCTGTGAGTATTTGCTTTTTAAAAATATACTTATAGAAATATTTAATGAAATGAAGTATGTACATTTTAACCTAGCTTATGAACAAACATACCATGAATATGCTAGTTTACTTATGTTTTACTGTAGGGTTCTGGGTCTGTGGCTGAAATGAACAGCTTGTTGGATAATATTGCAAAGGCGACAATAGAAGTGTTTCAGCAATCCGCTGATCTAAACAATAACTCTTCTAACTCTGGTATAGGCCTCTTCAATCCAAACTCTGTTGGAAATGCTGACACAAGTAATACAAGACAGAATGGTAAAAAGACATTCTTAAGGTATTTTTCTGCCACCTTTTTAATTACCTTAAGCAATATGATGGTTAATTATGCATAGCATGCATAGGCTGTTTGTGTTTGAACTAGGACCATTAAGGAAAATTGATTTCCTGAAAGTTTTGCTTAATAAATATTATTGTTATCCTGTAATCATAATTTTTAGCCCATGCCATCTATTGCAGAAAATCTATGCCATTAGTGTATCAATTTAGTCTTTAAAATAGCAGATAATGGTATAAAGCTTAGATGGATTGTTTTCAATGAAATAAGTTTGTTCTGCTTTTAGTTCCTCTGAACGTCGAGGAGTATGGTTGGTGGCTCCCCTGATTGCAAAACTACCTACCTCAGTTCAAGGTAGAGTGTTGAAAGCAGCTGGAGAAGAGCTAGAGAAAGGTCAGCATTTGGGATCATCCTCAAAAAAGGAACGAGACAGACAGAAGCAAAAGAGGTAAGAACATTGAAAGGAGAATTGTACCAGGGAGACTTTTTCTTTTAGAGTTGTCAGAACTCATTGGTCAGGTCTTCATGTTGCAACTCCCCAGACTAGGTAGGGTTCAGAACCTGTTTGCATGTGCAATTTTACTGTTTTAGCTCATCTTCTGGTAGATGTTCAGTATTCAGCTAATTACATTTTTTGATAATAACGGGATGTAAAATGGATAAATATCCAATGCACAGAATCAGATCTGCCCCCTCTCACCTTGTGCTAGCAGAAAGTACTTATGTCATTATGAATTGCTATGAAAATATTGCATCGGGCAGTATCCTGGTCAAGTACCCATGTAGGTGTGACTTCAATTAACTTGCCATTTTTGCCTAAGAATAACTAATAACCTTATTCCAATATCTGAACTGTTCCCTTTTACTTCCTTGCCATTAATATGTGAATTACTGTAAATAGTAAGGTTCTTTATTTTCAGATAATTAACCTCTCCTCTTATGTAGCTCTTCCAGGGAGAAGTTCCCTGTTCTCAAGCTAGTTCCCATTCCAATTCAGCTATAATTTTTTACCTATCTTTAACTGAATAGAGAGATAAATATGTACTGACATCCTTAGCAGTTGGTGTTGAATAACAGAAATGCATCTCAGCACTTTTCCATTTTCCCTGACTCTTAGTTTAAGTAATTTGCTACCACTTGCCAATCTTCTGTCTTAATAAAAAGATTCTACTTTGGCTCATATCAAACCCACTCTTTAATAACAGAGTCTTTCTTCCCATAAGAGTTTCCTAGTTTGAAAAATATAACCTTCTTCTTTTTCAATGGTCATCTTGTCCAAACTTAGGAATTCTGAAGTTCCTTCCACATACAGGCAGAACTGGAAGTATTTAAGAAGAAGCTATAACCCAACAGATTTACTTTTTTATTTGGATGTTTGATTAAAAACAAGTTTTACTCATGTTAGTTCAGCAGAATCAATGGCACCATGGAAGAGGAATGAACTCCTTTCAATTTATCACCTTGTATTCCATTCACATAATCATCAGAAAAATTCTTATCTGGAGAATCTTTTTTACTAGTGAAGAGAAGGGAGGGCATAAGAAGTGGGGTGGGGAAGGGATTACAGCTTGGTTCCTGATTCTACTTGATAGCAACAGTAGTTCTTACAGCACTAATCTTTTGATTTGTCAACTGAGAAAATTTCTTAATGGAAGCTATTAAAAGAATTAGGGGTGCACCGATAGAGATTTTTTGGGCTGATATCGATGGCCGATTTTTTTTAATGAGCCATATTGGCCAATACCAATCTGATTGATATGCAGCTGGGCAGGTCTGACTGCTATAGTGGGGGAAGGGGCAGGGGGGAGGGAAGGAGTGGGGTGGGGGCTGATTGAGGCCCCCTCAGTGTGGGGGAGGGAGTGGAGCTGGGGCAGGGGTAGGCGCTGCACAGCTGGGGCAGGGTATGGGACAGAGCCACAAGTGGCTTGTTTGGGGGACGGGGGGGGTGGCTCCCATGTGCACCCCAGGAGGGTATGGGGGGCATGTGCCCCCAGATCTGCATGGGGTGAGGGTGGGCTGCTGCTGTTGGCTGGGGCCGGGGGCAGCACTGGGCTGTTCCTAGTGTGGGGGCCAGGCCAGGGCTGCTTTTGGGGTGGGCATTGGCGACTCTGGGAAGGGGAGCTATGGGGAGGCTATGGTGAATTTTGGGATGACTGCAGTTCCCAGGGTCCCCCCCCAGCACTACCACCGCCTGCCCTGAGTGCAGCCCAGCCCAGCCCAGCCTCTCACTGAGAAGAGCTCAGTGCCACCCTGGCCCCAGCCGACAGTGGCAGGCC